GGGGGGGGGGCACAGGACGGCTGTGAAGGGCTGTGGCGTCAGGAGTGCATTGAGGGGCGCGAAAGTTGATATGTAAACGAATATTTCACTGTCACATCCACTACCCACCAATTCCACAATCAACGCGGCGAATCGAAATTGGAAAAAAAAACATCGCTGGAATAAAGGTGACGTGAAAACCTCATTGGAGTTTATTAGGTACCTTTCGGCTCTGCTGCCTCACCATGTGAAATGACGGCGCCATGCATCATCAACATTTATCACATTTCTTCATTTCTTTGAGCAGTTAGCTTCTGCTTATTTTATTTATTCTCTCTGACAATTAAGTTATATTTTTCATTCAGAAAAAATAGTAATTCAGTTGGGTGTTGCACGTAGTCGCCTACAGTTAAACAGTGGTACCCGCGTAGTGCGTCCTCAGGCGGGAGTGAAGCACCACTACATGCGTGGCAGCCTCCGCGCTTAGATAAACAAACCTCGCGCCGCCTCAGGCGCAGAGACGAGCCAGCAGAATGTGCGTCCGACCGCGAGCATACGACGCCCAGACGCTGTGGTTTCAATAAACCCCGCCCAGACGCTGTGGTTTCAATTTGAACTCTGGCGTCCTTCTGCAGCAGCAGTTTCTCGTGAAGTAATCCACAATGTAACGAAATAAATTATATTTTGTTATGATTCCATCTGGAAGATAACCTTTTTGAACTTCCGAACGCAAAAAAAAAATACCAAACTCATCGGATCCGATCAAATCACAATTATCCCTGCTCATCATTCTATGTCGCGTCCTCTTCTGCCGTTCATTCTGGGCAGCCGCGCAGTGGGTAGGCTGTGCCGCAGCACAGTGTTGTTTTGCGGCACAGCATCGGATGGACGGCAGGCGGCAGCGGCACCTGAGCCGGCCGGACCGCCGCGCGGGCGGGCTGGCCGGCTGCTCTGAGACGGAGAGACGGACCGGCGGCCGCTGTCTGCGCTTAGAGGATACTGTTCCACACAGCCTGCGCAGTCGGTGCGGCAGACACTCGGGCCCTTTCTTTATGTTCTTGCAGCAGAAAATGCGGCTTCATCTTGACTTATTTATTCGGAACATAGCTGTGTTCAATGTTCAAGTCACACTTCGGTTAACAAGTTAGGCATAATTACTTTCAATTACGACGTTATACCTTTGAGTGAAAATCGAAATCTAAGCTGCACATTACGCGGAAAAAGTTCAATGGTGAGCTCACAAATACTCCTATTCTGTGAAGCACCAGTCAACCACCGAGGTCGCAGACCGCGGCCAGGGTTCCCAGGAGCGTGTGTATCCACAGTCAGCAGGCCTGCCTAATGACGCCGCCGCTCGCAGATGGATGAAGCCACGTCTCCCAGAACGCCCAGTCCACCACCATGTCGCAACCGGTTTCGCAATCTGCACGGGCACGCGACAGAGCTCCCGTTTTCATTGACAGCCTTTGACGGTGACATCAGCCGGCCATTCGTTCACCCGCCCACAGGCCTCCTCCCCACAGGGTGGCCGAGCCGGGCCGTCCCCGGGGCTCAGCGTCACTGCCAGCCCCGCACAGACGACTCTGTTTTCCAGCGATGAATCTTCGTCAGTGGCCGTCTGCGTGGCGTCAGGTGGTCACGTGACCCGGACCAGCGGCTCCCCGGGAGGGTGACTGTGCGGTCACGTGACCGGTCTGGCGGCATTGCGGCTGCCCTGGGAGTCTAACTGCGCGTGGTGAGAGGTAGTGACGCCGGCACAGAGCGGCGGTCTACAGTGTCACACACGCACGCGTGGAACAGAGGGGTGGGGTTCTCACTCCCCACCGCCGTCTGTTGCCTGTCCCCACGGAGGGAGCGGGGGGGGGGGAGAGCGACACGGGGACAATGCCGCTCGACTCCGCTCGCCCGTGTCGCGAGGGACGCGACACGTAAAACGAGCCCGTGATATGACGCCGGCCGGTTTTTCTGGAGATCTCAAGTCGGAAAAGAGGCCAGAGGAGTGGCATATTTACAGGAAAAACAGCGCCAATGGATCGCGGCCATTAATTTCAGAGCGGCGAGCCGGAGGTCACAAAGCAGCAGTGGTGCAGCACGATGCGCTTGCCAGCCACTGAGGCTTGAGGAAGCGCGGTTGCAGGAACGAATTTGCAGGCAGTTGGCGGTCGTTTGTTCACGTAATGGTGACTGACGTTAAACACGGCCAGCTGTCCGGCCATTGTCCGCGCCTCCTGCTTCCTTGAAGTGGTCTCCATCGAAATTAAATGAGCCATATTGAGGAAAATGTTCTTTTTTAGTTATAACGGTGCCGAGGGAAACACAAATAAAGGAAAATGCAATGTGATTATAACCGGATGCTTTGTGTTAAAGTGAGTTATCGTTTGTTGATATGTGCGAGTGATCTGCAGATCATTTTCTAAGATCATTTCCAGACATTTTGCGTCATAAATGATGTTGTTGCCGCACCATGTCAATGTGCTAGTAAGGGTTTGTATGTACCTAATTGGTTCACTGTAACATGACTGAAGTGATTTCATTGATTAGACCATATGACCATAAACATAGCTCAGAAACATGACGCTTTATGCGGGCTCTGGCTAGTGTTGTCTTGACATAAGTACTAATCACTGGAGCCAACAAAGAAATTCACACCGATCGTGCATTTAACAGATAAACTCACGCATGCCTGGCTGAAACAGTATCTGTCATTCGCCAATGATAATATACTAACTCATGAATACATGTAATGTCCTATTACGACGAATGTAGCCACCTGCGTAGTTGCATTAGGCAGCCTTGATTTAATGAACATAAATAGATTTGAGTTCAGTGTGTCTCATTGAAGAACAGTGCATCCATGAAATGACGGTAACCAAAAGAATGTGGTAACTGATGCATTTTCAGTATGACAGAAATAAAGACGTCAGGGAGGGAACTCAGCAGACGTTTGGTCTGGTAAATGCAAAATAAATTGATTCGCAAGTAGCTGAAAAGCTCAGCACCACCAATCCCGTCTAATTTTACTCGCGCTCTGCTCCTCGGTGGCGCTGTTGGCAGCGTTATCACCCCTCTCTGCGACAGGTCATCGCAATGACTCTCCGTAATGAAAGGAACACATACGGCCGAGCTCTCCACACCCGTAATTCGGCGGCTAATTTAGCCGGCAGCGAGAGCGACCTAATTAACCCTACCACAACTCAGCTGACCCCGGAAGGAAACTGAATCAGCGCTGCGAGGGCGCCACGCGATACAACTCACCCGAGGTGGTATTTACAGAAAATAAATCACACAGCGTGGGCAGACATCAATCGGACCTGTCTTATACCGCCTCCGCGTGACGGGTGGTGCCGTCAGCGATAACTGCCTCGCGCTGATCTTTGGTGCACTCTCAGTCTGCACTGCACTTGACGACCGTGTGTTGTGACACGGATATCGCTCTCCAGACGTAAGCCGGAAACGAATGATTGGTGACTAATGGGTGCTGTTCGCTGCGGACTCTGAGGAAGGCCGCTCAAAGCTCAGAAGGCAGTATCCGTTTCCACCTCAGTCTCAGTTTTGTAGTCTTCATCTTGGTTTCAGTTTTCAGTCATTCTCAGTCTCAGTCTTTATCTCTGTCTTAGTCACAGCTCCACTTTTCAGCCTCATTTCGAGTCTTCTGGCCTATGACTTTCGACCGATGACGTGCACGCATCGATATCGACTGAAAAACGTCAGTGGAAGCCTTGAGTGGCCTCACTGGAAAACCCCGTCATACTACCACGTCCTAGGTACCACAGCGCACCCTTCTCCATCTGCCAACCTCCACAGACGAGCTAGTGCAGAGATTCTGTCTCTAGGAAGCGCTGTGTCATCCGACCCATCAGTCGGCGCCCGCGGCGCTCGGCGGGGCGCCCGGGGCTCACTGGGGCGCGTCACGGCGCCCCGGGACGGCCAGCACGTAATGGCGCCCAATTAATACCTTTGACGTGTGGTGGGCAGACAGCGGCACCCCCGGCGGTGCTCTGCGGAGGGGGAGGAGAGAGGAGGGGGGTGGGCGATGGCGCCGGAGCGGTCGACCGGGCGACGATGGCAGGGCATTCGACTTGTGGCGCACTGCAGTCGCTGCCGCCGCCGCTGTCGGCGTGTCGGCAGCGGCGAGCCATGCGGCGGGGGGGGGGGGGGGGGGTCACGGACAAATGGCGACGGAGAGCTGGGGGGGGGGGGGGAGACCGCAGGACCACGTGGCCCGGTCCCCGTGGGGCGTGACGTCACAAAACGGCCATCAGCTGACTGGTGCTTGCGGACACGTGACAGCGACACAGTGGGACCGGTGAGATGAAAGAAAAACTGGATCGTACTCCTGTGCTAGGCTTGCGAAATGCTAGTTTTCAAACTTCGAGAATAATACTTTGGCCGAGTTCTACCGAACAAGTCAGTGGCAACTTCAGTAACAGGCAAGAACTATCTAATTCAGTAATAAAACAATGCTCCTATTTGCGAGCGATCCTTCCAAATCATCAGATCAAACACAATCGATGCAAAACATTCCGGTATAGATTGATTAGATTGATAACATCTAACATAGCATTCACGTGCCAGGCGAGCCTCTCGAACTTGCAATGGAAATGCTGCACACCTCCGATCCACTGGTGGTCCGCCGAGGGGCTCGGGTCGCGCGTAACTTACGTCTGTTTTAATGAGCGGAACATCGATCGTAGAAACGTGCCCCTGGGGTTTAGACGGTGCCGGCATACATACTCAGCACAGGTGAGGTCTACCGGGAGTGAGGGGGGGGGGGGGCGAGAGGAGGGCTGCTGCGGGAGCGCTCCGCTCCACAGTTTGTCACCACTATACAGGAGCTGGCGGACATGTCGGACCGGTCTGACAGACACACCGAGTGGCGGCCGATCCCGGCGGCGCCGGTGCCGTTTGCACGGCTCCGTGCCGTGCTGACAGGTCCATCCTCTGCGGCGCCGAGGACCGCTCCGAGGCGGCTCCGACAACAAACAGCTAACGCCGCTGTACCCACTGACGTCATCACTCACCGGGGACCAGTGACGTCACCAGCAGCAGGCCGGCGAGCCGGACGGGTGGCTGGGGCGGCATGGCGGCGGCGGCGGCTGAAACGAGGAGGTGGCGGGTCAGAGCTGGCGGCCGTATCCGTCACACGTCTGTCGTCTCCGTCACAGGAGGGGGGGCGAGGAGGGGGTGGGGCGGGCCAAATGTCAGCCCGAGCGTGTTGTTGCAGGTGCGCCGGGGAGAAGGGTCGCCGAAGGAGGAGGTAGGGTGCCGCACCCACTGATCCGGATGTGGGAGGAGGAGGAGGAGGAGCAAAGACAATAGTAGGACCGCGCGAGGACGACAAACAGCGAGCAGTAAACATGACAACACAGCGACGGAAATGGAACGGGGCTTGGCGGATATGCCACTCAGGTATCCTCACCGCGAAAAGAACGGCCGTCGTCGGTCGGATCGCCGTCTCCCCATGGTGAACCCGGTGATGATGTCGCTGTTGGATGCACCATTTCAATGTTTGTCGGATAAGCAACACCTAAATATCTCGTAGAATAAACGCCACGTAAATATCTTATGTTATGTGTTAGATATGTATCACTATCATATTTCGATGGTCAATGGTCATGCATGCATTACATGCATTACATGCATTACAATACATAAACTCGATATTACTGGATAATTAGCCGCCGCCCGAGCGAAAATGCACCATCACAAAGAGGAAGGCTAATGTCATGTCATGAGGTGGTAGTTTGGGACGCGACATTTCGGCATTTAGCCTTGCTATCTGCGCTCACGTGTATAAAATGAGAAGCCTCGCGAAAATGGCGAATCGGTTAGGTCACCGAGTCATCACCGACGCCGGACGCAGGTATAGACAGTGAGGTCAACTAGCCTCCAGTAGCATACTGACAGGGGCGTCGCCACGGATTTTTGAGTGGGGGGGGGGGGGGGTCGGGTTTCTAGTCTTCACCCGATGGGTAGGGGTGTTTTTTTTTTGCCACGCTTGCCAGTTTTGTGCGTGCGTATGTGCATGTGTGCGCGTGTAACAAAGCGGCGTGCAGCGCCGCGAAATTTGGTATAACCTATTAGGTAGGTATACCTACCTACATCACTTGCGTAAAAATTATCACTGGTCACTTAAGGTCAGGTCGCTATGTCAAGTTCAGTTATACGGTATACCTCTATCAAACTTTCCCCTCTCGCCATTCTTGTAGCTATTCTCCCATAACTTCGAAATTTGGTACACTGTATACCTAATGTATGGGGTTATACATACGTGTCAGCAATTCATGATTCTGAGGATTTACATCTATGATCTGGAGGCAGGTCAAATACGTGACCTCATCATTAGAAAATAATGAGAAATTATAAAAAGCACGAATGCCTCCTGCTTTGAAAAAGTTCGTCAGAAACGCAAAATATCTTTGGAGCCATGACAAATCAGCTCATCATTGCCAGGGACAGGGTGCAACTTATGGCGAGTGATGACTCGAAAGGTCATTAGTGGAAATGTCCATCGATGGCCACCAGCATTTTTTTCCTACAACTTTTGACGAAGACGCGGTAGAGCGATGACAGCACCTGGAAGGTGTTCATAGTTCAGCTCAACAACACGGATCCATTCATATGCAGCAGGAGGTCCTTTTTCGATCTGGACATAACGTTGACCTGAGGTCGTTTTAACGTTAATTCTGAATGGTCAAATTTTAACTCATGTGACGCGTCTCAAAGAGATAAACACAGTGGTGACAAGACAACATATGTAAATACCATACAAACTCACGGAATCTAAAGTTATTGCAAAGCAAATGTTTCGGCAGAATCTGTCCAGATAGCTGTTTGCCTTCTATGGGCAAAACATAGACCTGGGATGAAATCTGACCCGAAGCTAGCGAAAGAGCGTTGAAAGAGCTGGGGCATTCCACGATAGATCGTACCACTTTTTTCCAATTTGACACCCTCATCTCTCGGAATTTGACGAGAAATGGCCTCAGGGGTAATCAGGGGCTCTGAATCCATCTGTAATAATTTCAGGCTTATCAGATAAGTATTTTTTGAGTTATGGTATATAACATTTTTTGGATCTTGCTTTGCAGCGCTAAGTTTGGCGGGCTGTAACTCTAAGACGGATTATTCAAATGCCAAATGTTATATAACATTGAACTTGCAATGAAACAGAGATTAATATGTATTTTTGAAATTTCGAAAAATACGCTATTTTTGATATATGACATATCGAGTTTTCTATCATTTGTATTTTTTGGACTTTGGGACCAAATTTTTTTTTGAATTTTTATTTCTTTAAAAAATATTTGGCTCATTGTTAAGAAGTATGCAAAAAATTAGGAAGGTGTTCTTTCTATAAATGTATTTATTTTACGTCACGATAACGGTTTCGAATAGTGATTTCGGGAGGGGAGCTTACAAATGGCGTGGTAAAGCTGCCTAGTGACATCACCGGTTACTGTAATTTCAATTTAAGTCTGAGTCATCTGAAAAAAGTGAAAAGAGGGTTCATCCAACCCTCTTTCCTATAAGCACGAGGGTGAAAAAGGCTGTTTGGTTCTGACATTGTTTTGGACGCCAATGACCATAGCTGTCCGAGATGAAAGTTACAGGACGCATACATTGTGTCCTCCAGAGGGCTCACAACTCGTATATCTGGGAATTTTTCAAGGTTACATGAGTTCAGGTCGGTCACGTGACATCACTGTTATAAATCAATGGGGAAATATATAAACTGTTATTTTGGTGCCGAGAATGATCTAAAACTATTCCACGTACATGGTATCGTGATTTCATGCACTCCTCGCAAAGTCCAATGCTTTACTTTTGCATTGTTAACCTTGCGTGACGTCATTTATGACGTCACTAGGGTCGTACGAGTTTTTCGTCAATAACTCCCGATCAAATGGAGCTAGGGAGTCGGGAAAGCCACCAATGGACTCGGGAAGACCTTCCGAATCGAATGATATGCCATATGATACCCTTTGCCCAGCTTCGTGACCTGAGGGGCTCTGACCTGACCTTGACCCGAGGTCAACTACTTAAGTTGACCTCACCCTAGCAAAAAGTATACCATTCGATGCACCTGAGCTAGGCGAACACAATGATGCCAAAATCGCGGCTCTGCGGCCATTTTTTGCGAAGTTATTTACTAAAAACCAAACCCGTAACTTCAGTCACGTGACCTGACCTCAGACGCTACCGGTTAATCTGAGACCTTAAAATCGGGTACCAATCGCTGCGACTTGTAACGGCACACACGCTCGTTTTTTCCGCGAGGCTCTAGCTCTATTAGAAGCGAAACGGCGTGCTGGGGTCGTATCAACCCCTCCGAAACCCATTTTGTTTGCGGGAAAATGAGGAACTTATAGAAAGAACACCTTTCTAATTTTTTGCATGTCGATTTGCAATGACATGAAGCTTATTTTGAAAAAATAAAAATGCGAAAAATTTTGGTCCCAAAAGTCATTAGAGGCAAATGAAAAAAGATTAAGGTTTTTGCTCAACAATGAAATTTTTTCTTTGGAATTTTTAAATAGTAATATTAATTTTTGATTCATCGCAAGCTTAGTGTTGTTTACTTTTTGTTGTTTGCTTAACCCGTTTTTGAGTTATAGGCCATCAAACTCACCGTTACATACCGAAGTTAAAAAAATGTAATGCAATATAACTCAAAAAGTTTTGATCTGAGAAGTCTGATATTTTGCCAGGCGTCTTTGGGGCCTATGATTACCCCTAGGACCGATTTTCATTAAAATCTGAGAGATGAGGGTGACGGGCCTGGTACGATCTATCGTGGAATGCCCCAGCTATCAAATATGTTTTCTGCTTCACTGTAGCCCTTCTATTGGTGGGCTCCCAGTCGCTAACTTATAACGTATACCTACTAAAGTAACGCTGATGTATGCTTTCGACCCCTGATCGATCTACAGGTTTGCGGAAAAAAGAGCATGCTGCCCGTGACGAGAGAAAGCCGATGATACCCATTTACAAGGTTTCGGGTCATCTCAGGACTCAGGTCATCGCCAATACGTAGGGAAAATCGGGACCTGCTAGAACTTTGCGAATGTAAGTTGTGATGGTTTTTCGAGGTTCTGATTACGAATGTTATCTTAGTTTTGAACGAAGATGATGACTCCATGCATTTGGGGTAGATCAGGTCAGGTCAGATCGACCAGTACCTAATAGTGGATGACCACCACCGATTGCTTCCTAACATGTTATACATATGTATAAGCAACACAACTACTTCTTAAATGTTCAGATGGGCGCTAAGTTCAAAATCAGCTCCAAAAACTATCCTATACCTGAATTAAAAGCATGTTATGAAAAAGTGAACCAAGGTCATCTTTATTTGAATCAGGGATATCAATTTATTTTTAAGTAGGTGATTAACACGAGCGCACCGGAAGTTTCGTTGCAATCGGCTCCTTTTGCGCGACTTCTTTGCGAAAGCCCGAGACGGTTTCATCTGACTCCCTTTCCCCTACATGTGCACTGTACAGCTAGTTGTGACGATAGCCATGGGGCTGAGGCTAGTTTGTAGTTGTAGTTAGGTACTGATCCGACGAATCGACTGCGACCATTTTTTTTTTTTAAACGATCAGACGAACGCTCGGGGCAGTTTTGGCGCGTCCAATCCTTTGAGGGATAAAAAGGTACTAGAATGGTGGCTACTTAAAAATATTGTTGTGCTGGTGTTCCCCGCCCACAGCTAATTGAACTTTAGGTAATTAGCTAATTGGCTTTAGGGAGCTCTTGAAGCGATTCTGAATCTGATGTATTTGTTGGTGTTGCTGACGCCTGCTTCACTGACATAAAAGCTAAAAAAGCATACTCAGCATCGCAAAAAGTGGGGGGTCGACACCCCCAGTTTTCAAGAGTGGGGGGGTCACGACCCCCCCGACCCCCCCGTCGGCGACGCCCCTGCATACTGACGTCTTTACACCATTGCGTGCCTAATACATTCAACCACCCACCGGCATGGAAACGTGACATTGCACTATTTATTTGTCTGTTGAACATGACAAATTTAGTAGATTTGGAGTCGCTCTCCACAACTCACACCACCAGTCTATCAGCCTCTGAGCGGCCC